CCAACCGAGTGACTCAGCACCAATGCCCAGGGGAGAAAAAAAAAGCTTGGGAGATAATGGGGGTGAGAGAGGGAGATAAGAGAAAGACTCGGGGTTCACAGTTCTGGAGGGAGCTGGAAGAATTCGGGTTGGGGGGGAGGAGAGCCAAGCAGCATAAGGTAGTGACTAAACACAAACACGCCTCCAGCCCCTCTTTCTCCGTCGGCCCTTCCCTGACTCTCTCCACTCATAGATGGGAACTCCTGGCTTCATCGGGGGTATGACCTTCTAATTTTCACAGACAACAGTGGAGAAGGAAATGGTCTTGAGAAATGGGTAGAAATTAGCATCGCACTGGGAGGGTAGCTCTCCCCAATCATTCTAGACCTTGGCTCTAAAAGGACAATGAACAGGATCTGATTTTAGGGAAGGGTCCAGAGCTCCAGGCTCTGAGGACTGGAAGCACTAATTCTTTACTGACACGTAACAACCACCCCCCTCCCTGCCTGTCCCCAGCCCCAGCCTATGCCCTAGCTGGCTCCCAGAAAACAGGATAAGAGCTTGACCTGAGTCCTGTTTTACAAGCTTCAGGATTCTTAACCCTTAGGAGCCCTGCAGAACCTATTCATGGAGAGGGGTTGGAGCTAGGAGGTGAGAATTAACAGTAAAAAGAAAGTGGCAAATAGCACAGAAAGTGGGAAAACTAATCAAGGAAAGCAAAGAGGATTAGAAATCTAAGGAATGGGTGGAAGGAAACTAATTTTTGAGTGATGACTCACACTTCAACATTTTAAGGTCCATATTATCTCTCCCCCCCCTTTTTATACAAATACAAAAACATAGACTCAGAGATTACAAGGTCTTCCTCACAGAGGCAGAGTAGCTCAACTCGGGTCTCTGTCTACAGGGCTCAAATTTCTTTCCACCACTCTCTCTCTCTCTCTCTCTCCCTCTCTCTCTCTAAGAAAGAACAAAAGAGTAATGGGAAAATAGGAGAGTAATGGGAAAATAGGACCAATCCAAGAGGCAGAGGACCGGGAAAGAGTGAAATGCAAGACAAACACAGAGTCACTGCTCCCTAATTCTCAGAGAGCAGAGGGAAGGGCTGGAGCAGACGGGAACTGCAGATTGCTCTCCCGGATCACAGCTCTAATCAACCACCAGTGTCTCTTGGCTGTAGGGGATGGATTTCTCATGCATTTGCTCCCCGCCCTTCCCCACATTGGGGCCAGGTCCCTGGCTGTGCCCTGAAGAGTAGCTGGCTGACTTGTCCCCACTGCTGCTGTGAGAGGGGCCCCCACACCCAGTCTGATCACAGCAGAGCATGGAGGTGCACACCTGGCGGAAGCGGGGGTCAAAGAAGGCGTAGAGGAAGGGGTTGAGACAGCTGTTCACGTAGCTGATGCAGGTGCAGTAGGGGTAGACGTTCATGAGGAAGATGTCAAAGTCGCAAGGCCAATGCAGCAGGCTGCCCAGCATGTACAGCGTCTTGACCAGGTGGTAAGGCATCCAGCACAGGGCAAAGGTCACCACCAGCACCACGATGATGCTGAGCAGCCGCCTGCGCTTCCGAAGGCCTTCGATGCGCTCCTTGCGGAAGTGACCCGCAATGGTTTGGGCGATGAAGAAGTAACAGGTCAACATGATGGTGAAAGGGATCACAAAGCCCACGGCAGTGGATGAGATGCCCAGGCCCACCTCCCAGGCCCACTCTGAGCTGGTGGTGGCCACGAGGGAGTAGTCCATATAACACTGTACCTTGGTGCTGTTGTCCATGTCCCCAGTGGTACGGAATACCATGACAGGCACCGCCAGGAGGGCAGCCAGCACCCACAGCACGGCGGTGGCCACGGCCCCGCTGACACGCAGCCTCAGCCGAGCGTTGGCCACGGGCCTCACGATGGCCAGGTAGCGATCAAAACTGAGCCCGGTGAGGCAGAAGACGCTGGCGTACATGTTGACGAAGATGAGGTAGCTGCTGAGCTTGCAGACGAAGGTCCCAAAGGGCCAGTCAAAATCCCGGTAGGTGTAGGTGGCCCACAGGGGCAAGGTCACCACGAAGGTCAGATCGGCCACCGCCAGGCTGGCGATGAAGATGTCAGCTGAACGTCTCTTCTCTCGGCTGCTCCGAAACACCGTCCAGAGCACCAGGCCGTTGCCCGTGGTGCCCAGAAGGAACACCAGCAGGTAGATGGCAGGGATGAGCGCCCCTGAGGACTTCCAGTCTGTGTACTCACACTCAGACTGGTTGTCTGCCCCATCGTAGTTGTCAAAATCACCTTCCTCCATGCTGGGGTATGGAGAGAAGATGGGCACAGGGGGCCTGAGCGTACCAGTTTCTTGGTATCAGCTCTGTCACCAACTCGGCAAGCACCCTGTGTTTCCAGCTGGAGCCTCAGAGGGTGACAAGGGCTGAAAGATGCCCAGCGGATCTTTCCAGCTCGCTGGAGATGCTGCCTCTGTTGCCTGGGACCCTGAACGGGTAGCTCTCTCCCGCAGACTTCCCTCTGCCCTCTCCTGCTCCCTTCAGACTTGGCCAAGATACTTCCTTGCACACCCACCCACCCCCTGAGTCTCTCTGTCCACTCTCTGGCCAGTCCCTTCCCTCCTCCCACCTCCGGGACAGCCCTCCCTCCCCCCACCCCAACTTGTGAGTCTTAAGATCTTGAAGTTACAGCCCACTTTTTTTTTTCCCCCTTTCTGGTCACTAGGCATGTAGACCAAATTCACCCCTGCTGGGCTGGGCTGCTGGTAGACTCCTGGGCCCACTTCCTCCCTCTTCCTTTAGCTGTCCTTTTCCTTTTAGCCTGCCCTTGGGAGCACTCCATCCTCAGCCAGTCCCTTCTAAATGGGACACATTATGCAGATTGAAATCTAGCCTGACCTGGAGCCAGGACAGTAAGGAATGGGGAAGGTGTGAAATTTCGCAGACTGGTCCTAGCATCTGGGAAAGCCCTCCTGCTGGGTATCCTGGGCCCCCAGCTGCCTCCCCAACTCCCACCCAACACCCAGTTCAAATTCCCACTAGCACCCTCTCCTTTCTTCTCCTCTTGCTTCATCCTCCTCTACCTTGACTTGTGTGTTCTCTCTCTCTCTCTCTCTCTCTCTCTCTCTCTCTCTCATTTTCATCATCACTTACAGACCCACAGGTATAAGGGGGATTTCTCTAGAAGGCTTAAATTAGCCAGCAGAGCTGGGAGTCTGCGGTTTGAAGATAGCATAGGAAGCTTCAGAAGGTTAAAGACAGAGTCATAGGACAAAAGCAATCCAGGACAAAATGATCTCGAGAATGGAGTCATTAAAGCTATGAGGAAACTGAAGATCCATCAGTCAAATGCCTTGTCCTAAATCACAAGGTGAGTTTTGTGATGATGCGTTGTCGGCTTGTCTTCTTCTCCAAGCCCGCATGGAAAACTGTTCTAGCATGTAATGGGCAATCGCTAAATAAGTATAGAGTGAGTAGGTGGATGGATTAGGGCGTAAGTGAAAAGAAGAGTCCACATATTTGAAGAGCATGAATTACTGTGTGTTGAGAGCACAGACAGCTCAGTCCACAGCCGCTTCTCACTGCCTCCCTTAATAATAAGACCACAGAGGGCCAGGAAGCTGAGCCAGGGGAGGAGGCAGAAACAGGAGGCAGCCAGCACTGAATACATGTCCCAGTCACAGGCTCTAGGAACTCACTTTGCCCCACCTAGTCACCCTCAGGAAAGAAAGAGGATATGATACAAGAGGTAAGATTAGAAAAACATACTCCCTTTCAACCACCCCCAAAACAAGGGAGGCTGCCTAAACTTGGGAAGGAGAAGTAGGGGTGTTCAACACAGGAAAGAAAGGGGGAAGAAAGAGAGGAGAAAGAGAGAGAGAGGGAGAAAGAGACAGAGGAAGGAAGGAAAGAGAAAGAAAGAAAGAAAGAAAGAAAGAAAGAAAGAAAGAAAGAAAGAAAGAAAGAAAGAAAGAAAGAAAGAAAGAAAGAAAGAAAGAAAGAAAGGAAGGAAGGAAGGAAGGAAGGAAGGAAGGAAGAAAGAAAGAAAGAAAGAAAGAAAGAGGGTGTGGGGAGGATTGGGTGGGGGGAGGGGGGGGATAGGAAGGGATGGGAAGGGGAAACAAAGGAGGAGGCTACAATGCTTGATAAGAAATGTACTCATTATCTTGCCCATGTAATTGTAACCCCTCTGTACAGTACTTTCACAATAAAAAAGGAAGAAAGAAAGAAAGGAAAGAAGGAAGGAAGGAAGGGAGAAAGAAAGAAAGGAGAAAGAAAAAGAAAGAATGGACAGAGGGAGGGAGGAAGGAAGGAAGGAAGGAACAGAGGGAGGGAGAGAAGGAGGGGGAAGAAAGGAAAGAAAAAAAAGAAAGAGAAGAAAGGAAAAAAGAAAGAATGGAGAGGGAGGGAGGGAGGAAGGAGGAAGGATTGAAGGAAGGAAGGAAGGAAGGAAAGAAGGAAGGAAGGAAGGAAGGGAAGGAGGAAGAGAAGGAAGGAAGGAAGGGAAGGAGGAAGAGAAGGAAGGAAGGAAGGAATTGAACAGCAATGAGATTGAACAAAATCAGATATGATAATCACCACATTCGAGGCAAAAAAATTTACAAATCTGAAATCCAGGGCCTGGAGGGAAAGTTGTTCAAACAACTTGCTGCTGGAATCCTCAAGCAGAAGTTCCAGACTCACTCACTCACAAGGCTCGGGCCAAAAATGAGCATAGTTCAAACAGCCAGTATGTACAATGTGGAGGGATAGAGACTGGCAAAGCAGAGTCTGCCTCTGCTATCCAAAGGAAGCCAGGCAGGGTGGTATCTCAGCTGTTCAGGAAACTGAGACAGGAGGGGCACTTGGGGTCAGGAGTTCGAGACCAAGCTGGGCAACATGGAGGCAACAAATTTCTATCTCCTAAGTGGATCAAGAAAATGTGGAATTCCATGCTTCCATGAGAGAGAATGACATTGTCCCATTTGTAAGAAAATGAGAAGACCTAGAAAAAAAATTATACTAAGTCCAAAGAAATGTAGGTTGCACGGTTTCCCTCACTTGTAGTAACGAGAACTTGTCTATGATATTCCTAGCAAAGGGTCACAATAGTCCAATTGCTAGGTGCAAAGTGAACTCCAAGAATTGGGAACAGGAGGTTTTTATTATGTACTGTTGGCAGTTATTTACCCTTTGTCTTGCATATTGTTAGGTTTAATTAGGTAGCTGAGAATGAGAACACCACACAGTATTCAGGCAGGAGGGAAAAGTTTATTTCCAGAAGGTGAGGGCAGGGATAGGGGGAAGGAGGGGGAAGCCACTTGTCCCCAGTGGCCCTGGCTTATCTAGGGAAGGAGCAGGGAGAAGGTGTGGCCTCAGCAGATGTGACCTCAGAGACCAGGGGCGTGATCTCAGCGAAAGGGGCGGTGACTGCCTCCTGCCTTCAGATGTCTGTGCCAGTTACCTAGATAATGCAGGTGGAGACAGGTACTGGGCTGGGGGGGGTGAGGGGAAGTGGGGAGGAATATGCCCATCTGCACAGCCTTCCCAGTGCACCTTGCATTTCAGCCTTTTAATAATTATGAAAAAGAACGCAGATTCTCTTTGGCTACTTCCCGCTGGCAAGGGGTGTAGACATTAGAGGCAGGAGGCAGAGATATGATCCCCTCTGGGTGAATGCAGCCGGCAGCAGCTGTCCCTCGGTGGTGGTGGTCTTGAATGAAATCTGGAAGAAGTCTCATGAGGCAGGGGCTGGGAAAACTGCCAAAGGAAGGGTTGGGGCAGAAAATTAAAAATTGGATGACTTAGCTAGATTGCCTAGTTCTTATCTCTTGTGTTCCAGGTTGTCCTGGAGGGAGGGGAGAGCATGCTAGACTGGTAAGCATTCAGAAGCTGGGGCTCGATTGGAGGCCTTGGTAGATGTCTGGATTAGACAGTGTGTATGGGAGACCCAGGAAGCTGCCAAGGCTAACCTATATGTTTATCTGATTGGCAGAAGGGAAAGAGAATCATAGAAACAGCAAGACAACTAGTATATGTCTGAGTCAAGCAGAAAAGGTCAGATAAGTTGATGTTAGGGAAATGAACCCCCAAGTTAAGTATTCAAATGTTTTCTTCTTTCATGCGATTGTTTCTAACATATTTATAAGATGATTTCTTTGCTGCTTTGTATGTCCCTCCCCCACGGTATAACCCCTGCTTTCACTGTATTTGATGTTGGTATAATTTGTGGAGGGGAAGGGCAAAAACAAATCGTTTAAATAGAGATGTACAAGTCATTATGTCGAAAAACAAACTTTACAACCTTGGTGGGGGGAAAGGATTGGGGGGGAGTATGGGAAGGGATGGGAAAGGGAAACAAAGGAGAAGGCAACAATGCTTGATAAGAAATGTACTCAATATCTTGCCCATGTAATTGTAACCCCTCCGTATGGTATTTTCACAATTAAAAAAGAAAGAAACAGCAAGACAAAGGATGAACAAATGCAAGCATGATTCTCACTGGACACTATGTTGGAAATGAACTTCACAACTTTCGGGGAAGAGGAGTAAGAGAGGAAAGTGAAACAAAATGAAGGAGAGAATAACAGAGTTCAAAAACAAATGTACTCATTATTTTACTTATGTAAGTGTGACCCTCTGTTCATCACCTTTTTTTTTTGCCAGTGCTGGGGCTTGAACCACTCTACCACTTGAGCCACAGTGCCCCTTCTAGCTTTCTCTGGGTATGTGGTACTGAGGCAAGCACTCTGCCACTGAGCCACCTTCCCAGCCCTTTTTCATCACCTTTACAATAAATAATAACCATAAAAAGACTATCTCAAACAAAATGAAACAAAACTAAACTCGAAACCAAACAAGAGCAACCAAGGAGAACTTCTCAGCTCTGATCTGGTTGTCAAACAGAAAAGCAAAACCAACATTAGCACGCCTTCCTATTTCTCAAGATAATTTCTAATTCTGGAGGGTTGTAAGAAAATTCCAGACTTGTGAAATGAGGCTCTTAGCACGAGATAAGCCATGACAGTGATGGGAAGCCAGGGCAAGAAACATTCCATTTAATGCACGGACACCCCCCCTCCCCATTTGGGGTGTATAAAAACCCCCACTTGTAGCTACTCAGGGCTGCTGGGTTCGGGTTGCCTAGGAGTAGTCCTGGCTGGTTATAATTGGTTATTGATAAATTCTTTTTTGCAGTTAATAAATCACCTCATAATTAAGATTGGGTTTGGAGTCCCCCCCATGGTCTGTTCCCTGGGGATCCTCAACTCGTTATACTTGTAAATTTGAGGAATTTATTCCTTTTTGTTCTTGACAACAAATAAACAAAAAAGAAGATAAGAAAAACAGATCCGCAAGTCTCCCCTTGGCAGTTTCTAAACAGGCTAAGCACAGGAGGTAGGAAAATCAGGAGGAGACCTAAAATGCAAAGAAATGCAGGGTGACAAACATGGACACAGCCTTCAGGTAGGATGGGGACATCTAGGAGAGAAGGCAAGAAGGAGCCTTTGATGACTCTTGTGGATGCCGACGTTGAAGGACGGGTGTGGCTAGGGTAG